GGAAGGAAGGAAGGAGATGGAGGAGGGAGAGGCCGATGGAGACGGGGAGGGAGAGGGGGAGGGAGGGAGGGAAGGGAGGCTAAAAATATAGCCATGCATTGCAACTGCCTGTGGTTCCTATTCATTATTACTCATGTATTTCCGGCACAGAAAGAGTGAAAACGGAACCCATGGTGCCTTTAGAAATTGGGAAAGAAAAGCACCAGAGCCAAAAGAGTTGCAGCCAGGCAATTAATTGCAAAGGGCTTGGTTGCCATCAAATCCAACCTGCCCTGGCGTGGAATATGAGAGAAGGCAGAAAAGGGAGACTTATGGAGGCAACGGCTTCCTTTTCAGAAACATCCACAGCAACGTCCCCCCTCCAGATACGCCCCGCCGTAGGTCTTATCGTCCAGTCTAGACAGACTGGGGATAATGGGAGTTGCAGTCCAAAGCATTGGGTGAGAGGGGCAACTGGCCCATTGGACCACAAGGCCCACCTCCGTCGTGGCTGGCGACGAACACACACCCACACACACACACCCAGTTTTACCTGTCTCCTGCAGGTGATCCCTTGCCAGCTCGAAGAGCCGAAGGTGCATGTTGGTGATGGGATTAAAGGAGCCGCAGGCCAGCAGGACCACTTCGGTCCGGTTGTCGGGATCCTCCATCGGCCTCGTCTGGAGTCGCTTTTGCTGGGGAAGGAGCGAGTCACAACGGGAACAGGCTGTGAGGGAAGAGGGGAAAAGGGAAGGTTTAAAAAGAAAAGGAAGAAGAAAAACTTTTTTTTTAATTGTTGCCACCGGAACAATTAAAAAAAAACAAAAATTGTAAGGGAAGTTGTGTCCTCCTACAATCGGTTCCGTGCGAGGGAGGAAGATTGAAAGGAGACCCTGAAAATTTGCAGTCTTCGGATGTCGAGCCAGCTCTGCCACTTTTGTAAAAAGGAGAGGAAGGGTGATCAGCCTGTTCTGTGAAGAAAAACCAGGTTTCTGGCCCTCATGAATACGAAGCTAGGTAACCGTAAGCTCAAGTTTTGCCAACGCAGCCCGTCCATTTTGGAAAGCCCAATTTTAAAGGGGTTTCTGGCTGCTACGCTACAGAATTAATTACCTTTTTCTGTGCACACACCAGCCACTAAAGGACGACAGGCCTAAACACAACAGATGGAATATCTATTCTAGTTTATTAATATCAACACAGTACCGTCATAATTTGATCGCTTTTAAAGGGATCAATAATTATTTCACTCTTCATTTTCCCCCACTCCTGCTGAATAGATTTCCCAGGGCTGTGTTTTTTTTTTATAGTTGCATTCCTTTTAATTTCAGTTCTTTCTTAGACCCATCAAGACAGGAGCGAAACAGCAATCCAAGCCAGGCGATCTTGGGTTGAATTCCACCCTTCCAATTTCAAAAGGTCTCGGACGTGCATTCGCCAAGGCCAGAAGCAAAAGTCTGAATAATGAATGTAGGAAAAATGATCCCTGGCTGCCACAAATATATATATATATATAAATAAAAACCCAGCCTTAGCCAGTCACCTCTGTGGCTGGACGGCAGCAACATCTAAATCTGGGGGGCTGCTTCTAAAAGTGGGAAGGGGATGATCCACCCAGGGAGGGGCTGGAGGTGGATCATCCGATTCCTTCCCCAGAGACAGAAGGTCAGCCGAAGCTCAGATGATCACCTGGAGCTTCCAGGTAAGGATGGGAGGGCAGCCAGAGGAAGAAAAATATACTGATATTCACTCCTTTCTTTGTCCCAGTGTTCCTACAAGACTCCAATGCACTCTTCACATGTACAGGAGCATCTGGGAGGATGAGGTCCCAGAATCCCAAAGGTGAGTGCTGAGTGGGAATTCTGGGCGCTGCGGTCCCAACGCCACTTGGGGGCAACGGGTTGAAGGAGGCTGAGTGGGTCAGAGAAGGAGACTACCCTAGTAAGAAGCCATGCCAGGAGGGCTCAAAATACAGCTTCCTCGGCTTACAACACTTTTGTTTAGTGACCGTTCAAAGTTACAATGGCACTGAAAAAAAGGGACTTATGACCATTTTTCACACAGCCGTTCTGGCATTCACACAATCAAAATTCAGACCCTTGGCAACTGACTTCTTTTTATGACAGTTATGGTTATATGTGATCCCCTTTGGCAGCCTTCTGACAGGCGACGTGAACGGGGGAAGCCAAATTCACTTAACAACCGTGCTACTAGCTAAACAACTGCAGTGATTCATTTAACGACTGTTGCAAGAAAGGTCATAAAATGGGGCAAAACTCCCTGAACACGCAAGCCACAGAAATTTGACGCTCGGTTGTAAGCCGAGGATGACCTATATTCAGAAGCAACTTTCCTCCGACTGGCGAGGACACAAGAGAGAGAGCTGAGCGGTGCTTGGTCAAAACCAGGATTCACACACCAGATTTTTGGCTTAGCCTTAGAGCCTTGTGGTTGGTCAACTGGGACAGCAATCTTTGTGTGTTGTCTGAATCCAGATAATCTGTGGTTCAGTGCAAGGTATTAACCCAGCTAAAACCTGCTTACAGAATGTAAACTAATCAAGGAGAGAAGCAACCTGGAACTAAGGAGAAACTTCCTGACAGTTAGAAAAATTAACCCGTGGAACAACCTGCCTCCAGAAGTTGTGAATGCTCCAACACTGGAGGTTTTTAAGAAGAGACTGGACAACCATTTGTCTGAAATGGTATAGGGTTTCCTGCCTGAGCAGGGGGTTGGACTAGATGACCTCCAAGGTCCCTTCCAACTTTATTATTATTATTATTACTTCACCTGGAAAGGCTGAGCCTGGATCAAAGACTTTGCCAATGTCAAAGAAAATATTTCTTTACCAAGGGCCAGCTTTTCCTTGGAAAGGGTGCAACAAGGACAGGCCTTTAATCTGGGATTTACAGTTACACAACTAATGCTACAATCCTGCGTGTCTTTTTTTTGCCAGATTCTTGAGGAGCAGTCATGATTCACTTCTGCCTGGCCCACACTGCCCATCACTTCAGCCGAGGGCTACCAAAGCATCTGCGATTCAGACTGTAAGGTGCCACAACTCGGGAGTTAACTCGGGCACAGAATTAAACCTGGTTTCGTTCTTCGTTCTGACTGCTTGTGTTTTTACGTGGCGCAGTAAGAGCGCCATCCTAGTTACGCACGTCAGCGTTAAGTGGGAAAAAAGAATGAATTTATGCCTGTTTTATAATGCTGTGCGAGAGGTCTTATTTGACACAATCAGAAGTGACAGCAAGCAGACCACCTTTGCACCCTTTAAACCAGGCATAAAAACCTCTGCCACCTACCCACCCACCCACCCGACTTATCCCTTGGACCTATAACAGTGGTGGCAAACCTATGGCACGGGTGCCAGAGGT